GAGGAACTGTATTAAAGGGTCGCGGCAATGTTGAAAACCACTGCCCTAGAACTTGGTTTTTCTTTCTTCTTTCTATTTCCCGTAACAAAAACAATTTTGGTTTTGGAATCCATATTTTTGATATATTACACATTCTCTAATATGATCGCGAGCTTCCCGTGGTGAAGCGGCTAGACGCTCACACCTGCGGATGCGAAGGTCCTGGGTTCTGGTTCTGACGAAGCCGGATCAAAAAAAAAAAAAAAAAAATTTACCTTGGCTCCCAGGTCGACTTAGTCTTAAATGGGTACCAAGTAAAGTATTGGGAAGCAAATTTTGACCTCTTCACCCACCAAGTACCGATTGGTGTGTAAAAAATAGTTATAATACTGAAAAACGGGATTCTGGATCAGCGCTATGCTAAAAAGCTGAATTAGTTTCATATAACCTGTCTCAGAAAGCTGTTCAAAATCAAATCGCAAGATAAGATCCCAAATACTGTGGTTCTTGATAGGGCAAACCTGCCTAGCATCCAAACGATACTGAAGAATTATCAGCTGCGTTGGATTGGTCACCTAACCCGCATGTCAGAATATCGCCACCCAAAGAGAATATTTTATGGCGAGCTCCAGCAAGGGAAGAGGTCACAGGGAGGACAGAAAAAAGCGCTATAAGGACACTCTCAACTGATCTCAATTCTTTTGGCATCAACACAGCGACGTGGTAGGCTGCTACACAAGACCATTTTGGATGGCGTACATCCCTCAGGCACAGTGCATCAGCCTGCCAGGCAGCGGAGGTTGCACAGGCAGAGAAACGGAGGCAGACTAGAAAGAATCGTACTGCTAATCCCACACTCACTGCGGCTTCCATCTGTTGTACGCAATGCTCAAGAACTTTCCAGGCTCATACTGGACTAATCAGCCACCTTCGTACTCATAATCATTGATAATTGCTACTGTGGACGAAAGTGGTCTCCATCACTAGTGATGGACGAATAACACAATATTGTATGCCCAATACCCCTGAAGGCATGGGAACGGGTATTTTACTTATTATTATATCATAATTATGCACGTAAACGAGGCTTGGGATCCTTCGGGTCCTCCAAATTTATAAGACTTGAGCCCTATAACCTATTTTTCTTCTTCTTCGTCTTTCTTTTTCCATTAACAAAAACCATATACATGCACACCTTGAATTCATATCTTTGTTATTCATTATTCAACACATCCTCTGATTTGATCTTTTCCCTGTTCCAGCATGAAAGGAAAAAATAACAAAGTTAGTCGACCAAACTAGAAAAACCTGGCCGGCCAACTTCAGCAGACGTTCACAAAAGAGATGGCTGCTGACAATAAGAGGCGCGATGGAGGTAGTCGTCTTCTGACATTATATTCCACCTCAGGATATGTTCTAGATTAGAATTTTCAATTGATTATTAATTACAAGTATGATAAAATGTCCGGACGATGTTAGGGCCAAGCTTTACGTTTTCATTCTGGCTTCTGAAAACGGAAACTCGACAGTAGATTTGTAAATAAAAAAAAAAAAAAAACGAATAATTCTCGGCTTGGTCTTTTATATTTCATTATTTTACCGGCTTCCGTCGTTTTTATTGTAAATGTTAATGATAATTTATAGGAATATATGCTGAGTAAACTGAGTTTATCTTAGAAAACGAAAAACATGGTTTGTTAAGTGAAAGTAATTAAGACTGGCAAGACACAATGGCCTTGTTTGTGTGTGTGCTTGCAGAGATTGTACAAAACAAACACAGATCTGACTGACCTGGGAGGGGCCAAGTGGAATGAAGGATAGGTTAAGCGGTCCGGTCCAGATCAGGTCCCCAGTAAATAAATATGCTACCACAGACCAAAGCAGAGTCCGATGTAGAGCTGTGATATATCTTAACACAGGGCTTTCCCCCCTAGATTAAAGGTGCTAATGCACACGGGATGCAGGTACTCCTGAAATGATGCATATTATAATAGTGTTGAAATAATGATGACTTAAAAATTAAAAAATAGAGGCTGTTATTGCTTACTGGCAGAAAAATAAAATGCTTTAACAGAAACAACATCATTGGGTCTTGTGCCTTCTATCCACCAAAGAAACATATGCTCTCAACAAACTCACACCAGGTCATTTTATCCTTCGCCGTTTCATGTAATTTGAATAATAATACAGGTTATCTTGGTCTTGTAAACATTACTCTATAGCTGCTTTCTGTGTGTGTTGGGGCTACCTTTATTTCTATGCCCCTGGGGATTCCGGTGCAAAGACATTCTAGGGCTATCCTCCAAATAACGGTCTCAAATTATCGAGGCTGAAAATATACCATAACAGGGCCTCAGTCACGTGTCAATTGTGGACTTCCGGGGACTATACCGCCACCGCCGAGTTTTGAACTTCTAGGGACTATCGAGAGTATCCCCCACGCCGCTTACGCAGTGTGGATTGGGGCTAAACTAGATGGCTGGGACTCACAAGCAAAAAATGAAGGAAGCTGCAGGAGATGCGGTAGCTGCTGCTCGTGAGTCCCAGCCATCTAGTTTAGCCCCAATCCATGCCGCGCGAGCGGCGTGGGGATACTTGTGGCGGAAGTGCGCAATTTAAGTCACCGGAAGTGCGCAATTTAAGTCACCGGAAGTGCACAATTGACACGTGACTGAGGCCCTGTTAGGGTATATTTTCGGCCTCGATAATTTGGGGCGTTTATTCAGAGGATAACCCATTTTAGCTATACTGTGATAAGATAGGACTGGGTAATTTACTCTGCTCACACATTTATATTAAACACACACACACACACACATATATATATATATATATATATATATATATATATATACACACACACACATACATAATACACACACACATATATATATATATATATATTTTTTTAAAAACTAAGAATTGTAACCTATTCCTTAGATTGTAGTAGATCAGCATTTAACAGCGTTACCATCTTCTTCTTGTTAGGTTCCTTGAAGCAGAGTTATTCTGATATCATTTTGTTTTTAAACAGCTCATGAATCCGCCAAATTGAATGGAAGTGGCCAGGCAGGAGATTCCGAACAGGTAGTCGTGCCAGACATGTTTATCAACTCGGCTGACAGTGATCCAGCACAGGAGAATGGCAGTGTATTCCAGGATGAACAGGGCAAATTAGAGAACAACAAACCACATGGAAAAGTTCCCTTTAAGTCAGGGTAAAAAATGATTTTACTATTTGTTTCTTCTTCTTCTTCTTCTTCTTTGCGTTCACCAGCTTCAAACTGCGGCAGAAAGTTCTGAATTTTGCTCACCTCCAGACTTTAGACATTGTTCCAGAACCTGAGTGTTACATGCACATCCAGTTTACAGATCTGGCTTATTTATATGCAGTCCCCCCGTGTGGGTTCTGGGGCCCCATTGTGGGGAAAACAAGAATAGACCCACTGCTTCACTAAAAGCATGTCGTAAGAGTCGACTAATTGGGGAGCTTCCTTTGAAGTCGGAGGGCATCTGCCAGAGAGGCAAGGAACCAACAGTCTGTATTCAAGAGAATGAGATCTGTAAAACTGATGCACACGCAACACTCAGGTTCTGGAGCAGGACTGCAATTCAGTAGTGGACGAGCAACCAGAACTTTCTGCCAGTGTACAGCTGGTGAACGCGAAGAAGAAGAAGATATGCAGTCTCTTGATTTCTTGCCTCTCAAGCTGAGGCATTCTTGCTTCAAAGGATGACCCCAGTTCATCCACTCCTAAAACATGTTTGTTTAAGAGGCAGTGGGTCTACCCTTTTTTACCCCACAATGAGACCCAAGATTCAACTGTATTCATCTTTTGTTTTCCTAATGTGGACTCCGGGACCTATATTTGGAGAAGAAAAGAATAGCTTCACTGCCTCCCTAACAAGCATGTCGTACAAAGCGAGTTACTAGAGGTTTTACTGAAATCAGATAATTTGGGCCAAAAGACACAAAAATCGCAGCCTTGCTGTAAACCCAAATACATTGTGCCAGCTTGTAAGGGCAAACACATAAGAACACTCTTTGTCTTTGTATCTCTCCCCCTCCCCCCTCCACACACACACACAGCTGCTTGTGAAGTGTCACCTAGAGGATAGATGAAGTTGTTATGAGCTTTAAGACATCTATCTATTCTTACTGTCAAATTTAACTTGCAGCCATATTTTTTCACCCACCCGGGGTTTTGTTCTTGCTGTGGATTGACAGATTGACCCAGCTCAAACTATAGTCTTTCCTCTTGTGTCGAGTGCGGCACATAGGGCAGAGGTCGTGACTCTCCATGCACGGCGGTCCGTTGCAATCCGTTGTAGGTCTTGGATGTTTGAGTGGCCCATGAGCGAGCCTTCCCTGATGATAGTTCTACGTAGGGTTTCCCTTGGTCTTCCACGAGATCTTTTCCCCTGTGGTGTCCAAATGAGGGCTTGGTAAGGAAGTCTTGATTTATCCATTCTAAGGACGTGGCCGACATAGTTCCAGCGGCGTTTTCGTATAAAATTAGACACATACTCTTGCCTGGATTCTTGCCTTATTTGTGTATTGGTTCGGAAATCTGACCATTTGAAATTTAGTATTCTTCTAAGGCATTTATTTTCAAAACTAGGTACCAGAAAAACTAGCTCAAACTAGGTACCAGAAAATGTAACAATTAAAGGTGGCCGGTATTCTTCTTCTTAGCGTTCACCAGCTGTAATTCTGATGGAAAGTTCTGGTTGTTTGTCCACTCCTTGTCTTATTCCAGAACTTGAGTTTTGCATGAAGGTCCGCTTTACACATCTGGCTTATTTGTAGCGGACTGTTGGTTCCTTAACTCTTAAACAGATACACTCTGACTTTGAACGAAACACCTTTACTTAGTCACATCTTAGGACATGCTTGTTAGGGGAACAGTGGCTCTATTCCTTATTCTCCCAAAAACAAGACTCCCGTGTCCGCATGAGGAGAGAATAATCCAACTGACAATGTCTTTACCTTTTTTTTTAAAAAATAACTTTTAAATAGGATGTGCAGACTTTCTTTGTTTCTTCTCAGGACAAATCCTTCCTCGCCGGTAGACTCGTCTCACAAGCCCTCATATCTGAAGCTCAGCTGCTCAGTCAGTGGCTACGGCAAGTACAGTTACTACAGCACATATAAGGATATCACCAAACGCTCGCCCAGCCTCGGCCAGATCACACTAAGGTAATTGTACTTACTGTAGTCTTGATACACACAAATGATAACACATGGCGTGGTACCACAAAAGAGGCACAGAGGCCCAATAGCGCGAAGATGGGCACAGGATGTAATTGACACTTTGGGTGGAAGAGTGCATGAGGAGGGAGAGCTGGCGAGGGACCGAGTTTCCTTCAGGCAGACGGTGATAAGAGCGACATTCTCCAAAGGATCTGCTACATCAGTGGCTCTCATCCTTTCTAATGCCGTGACCCTTTCTTAAAGTTCCCTCATGTTGTGGCAACCACCATACAGTTATTTTTCTTCATAACTTCAATGAATATGTGTTTTCCAATGGTCTTAGGCGACCCCTGTGAAAGTAATGATTGATACTAGAAAGTGCATGTGAAAACCTAATGCACTAGTAAAGTAAAGGACCCTTTTCCGCACGTTAAGGCGTTCTAGGCATATAGGGCTAGTCCTGTATTTTAAAGACCACTCAACACTTGTTGGTTGATGTGGTCAGCATCACATTAGCCACCTTTATTTTCCAGAATTTTAACCTGATACCCATTTAAGACTATGTTGATGTGGAAGCCAGTTAAAAAAAACCCAGAAACAAGCCCAGCACCATTTGATTTGAGTGATTCGAACCCACGACCTTAGGATCTGCAGGTGAGCATCTAGCCGCTTCACCACCGCAGCTCCAAGATGGCCAAAGGAGAAAAATATTTGATGGTGAAGAAGTTTAACAACCAACCCAGAGGGCTAAAATATTTCACCATGAGGTTTGAAAAGCTAATTAGGCTTTGGCTCTTGGCTTGTGGGGAATACTGCATTTGTGTAGGTGTGCGTGTGTACCCACATAGCTGTGTAACTGTAGTTTAGATTGTGTATTGTTGCTAGCCTAGCTTGTCTAGCAGACAGATAACAGACGGTTAGGGAATCATTATCAAATGTCACTGTTGACTGTTTGTTTATGTGTTTGCTTTTCTTATCACTCAATCCACAGTTCTGCTTTCTAGTCTGTTTTAATGGATCTCATATTTTTAGTGTATAGCTTCCTTCCTACCCTCTCCATTCCTTTGTTTTTTTTTCTTCCCTTCCTTCCTCTCGACTCCCTTCCTTCCTCTTGACTCTTTCCCTAACTTCCCTCCTTCCTTCCACCCTCCATTTCTTTTTCCAGCCTTTCTGTTTCTCTCTTTCTTTGTCATTCTCATCTGTTCTCTCTTTCTTTGTCATTCTCAATTGTTCTCTCTTTCTTTGTCATGCTCCACAGTTCTCTCTTTCTTTGTCATTCTCACCTGTTCTCTCTGTCTTTGTCATTCTCACCTGTTCTCTATTTCTTTGTCATTCTCAATTGTTCTCTCTTTCTTTGTCATTCTCAATTGTTCTCTCTTTCTTTGTCATTCTCAATTGTTCTCTCTTTCTTTGTCATTCTCAATTGTTCTCTCTTTCTTTGTCATTCTCAATTGTTCTCTCTTTCTTTGTCATTCTCAATTGTTCTCTCTTTCTTTGTCATTCTCATCTGTTCTCTCTTTCTTTGTCATTCTCAATTGTTCTCTCTTTCTTTGTCATTCTCATCTGTTCTCTCTTTCTTTGTCATTCTCGTCTGTTCTCTCTTTCTTTGTCATTCTCATCTGTTCTATCTTTCTTTGTCATTCTCGTCTGTTCTCTCTTTCTTTGTCATTCTCATCTGTTCTCTCTTTCTTTGTCATCCTCATCTGTTCTCTCTTTCTTTGTCATTCTCAATTGTTCTCTCTTTCTTTGTCATTCTCATCTGTTCTCTCTTTCTTTGTCATTCTCGTCTGTTCTCTCTTTCTTTGTCATTCTCACCTGTTCTCTCTTTCTTTGTCACTCTCATCTGTTCTCTCTTTCTTTGTCATTCTCGTCTGTTCTCTCTTTCTTTGTCATTCTCACTTGTTCTCTCTTTCTTTGTCACTCTCATCTGTTCCTCTTTCTTTGTCATTCTCGTCTGTTCTCTCTTTCTTTGTCATTCTTGTCTGTTCTCTCTTTCTTTGTCATTCTAGTCTGTTCTCTCTTTCTTTGTCATTCTCGTCTGTTCTCTCTTTCTTTGTCATTCTCGTCTGTTCTCTCTTTCTTTGTCATTCTCATCTGTTCTCTCTTTCTTTGTCATTCTCGTCTGTTCTCTCTTTCTTTGTCATTCTCATCTGTTCTCTCTTTCTTTGTCATTCTCGTCTGTTCTCTCTTTCTTTGTCATTCTCATCTGTTCTCTCTTTCTTTGTCATTCTCGTCTGTTCTCTCTTTCTTTGTCATTCTCATCTGTTCTCTCTTTCTTTGTCATTCTCATCTGTTCTATCTTTCTTTGTCATTCTCGTCTGTTCTCTCTTTCTTTGTCATTCTCATCTGTTCTCTCTTTCTTTGTCATTCTCGTCTGTTCTCTCTTTCTTTGTCATTCTCATCTGTTCTCTCTTTCTTTGTCATTCTCAATTGTTCTCTCTTTCTTTGTCATTCTCATCTGTTCTCTCTTTCTTTGTCATTCTAGTCTGTTCTCTCTTTCTTTGTCATTCTCGTCTGTTCTCTCTTTCTTTGTCATTCTCGTCTGTTCTCTCTTTCTTTGTCATTCTCTGCTGTCTTGGTAAGCCAGAGCACTAGCTCCGTACCAGGGCTATTCTTCTGTCTTGGTAAGTCAGGGCACTAGCTCCATACCAGGGCTATTCTGCTGTCTTGGTAAGTCAGGGCACTAGCTCCGTACCAGGGCTATTCAGCAAAGTTTACTTAGGGTCCAAATTCTCGAAAATTTTGATTGTCATTGACCAGAGACCCGATCCCCAGCGTAGAAAGTTAGCTAATACAGTACAGTTTGCAGTGATCCACTGGCCACATTTAGCCCACAGGCTGCCAGTTAAATAGCACTGCTATATACCAACTTGGAGATACTGAAGAAGGGATCTGAGCACTTATGGACTGGATGGTTTGATGTGCGATGATGATAATTTTGTTGACTAACTAATTATACCAATTTGGTCTCAGGTGCTGTAAATATTTTTTTTTTTCATTGGTCACTATAAACTAGTTTCTTTTCTGTGTCTGAGGAGGTTTATTTAATTTATTACTTTAAATTTTTGGGGAAATAAAGACATTTAAACCTTCTACCTCTGATGTTATATTTTATGTCCTCTTCGTGTCATTGTTGGTCTGCTGCTTTTCTGCCTATGGTATCCCATGTCAATTTACATTCCTTCATTTTCCGTTCTATTGTCCTTCTCCAGGCTTCCTTAGGTCGTCCACGTCTCCTTTTCCCATCTGCTGTCCACCAGAGAGCTGTTTTTACCAGAGTGTCACAAAGCATTCTGCAAACATGTCCAAGCCATCTCCATCATCTTACTTTGATAACATTTGCCAGTGATACGTATTCTGTTTTCCTCCTCAGTTCATTTGCGATCTTGTTTGGCCAAAATATTCGTAGAATTCTCCTAAAACATTTATTTTGTTAAAAAGTCAAGTTTATGTGTAATTCCCGCTGTACCTCTGACGTTGCTGTGTCCCTGATCTGTGCCAGGTCGGATCTGAGCTCATCCACACCCAGCATACTGACAGCACATATACCAAGAAGCATATCCAGCTCGGATTACGTGACCAGGGCTCGACTAGCAGAATCAAATGTCTCCAGTATCAGAAGTCGCAGCCAGGTCAACTCTCCCACCATCATTGTTAATGGGCACGTTGCAAATTTTCCAACAGGCAACACGGAAAAGGTCAGTCTGCAAGTTTTCTGAATTGCCTTGTGTTGATGTCATTTTGTGTTTCTGTGGTGTCTCTTTTACTCCCTCCGCCCAGCTCTGTCTTGGTCAACCTCTTGTCTGGTACCAGTTATATGTTTATGCTTTTGAGTAGTTTCATAGCCACATTTTTAAAGAAGTTCACTCACGAACTAAATGGTGACAGTGGGAATCATCAGACCCGAGCCCCAGCATAGAAAGATCATTAATTCAGTACAGTTGGCAGTGATTCATGGGCCACTATTAGGCCTCGCTGGCGGGATTTGGCCCTCGGGCCACAAGTTGTATAGCCCTCGTATACAGCCCTAAATATATACAGCCATGAATATATACAGCCTGGTATATAGCCCTAAATATATACAGCCTGGTGTACAGCTCTAAATGTATACAGCCTAGTATACAGCCCTGAATGTATAAAACCTGGTATTCAGCCCTCAATGTATAAAGCCTGGTATACAGCCCTGAATGCATAAAGCCTGATATACAGCCATGAATGCATAAAGCCTGGTATACAGCCCTGAATGTATAAAGCCTGGTATACAGCCCTGAATGCATAAAGCCTGGTATACAGCCCTGAATGCATAAAGCCTGGTATACAGCCCTGAATGTATAAAGCCTGGTATACAGCCCTGAATGCATAAAGCCTGGTATACAGCCCTGAATGTATAAAGCCTGGTATACAGCCCTGAATGCATAAAGCCTGGTATACAGCCCTGAATGTATAAAGCCTGGTATACAGCCCTGAATGCATAAAGCCTGGTATACAGCCCTGAATGCATAAAGCCTGGTATACAGCCCTGAATGTATAAAGCCTGGTATACAGCCCTGAATGCATAAAGCCTGGAATACAGCCCTGAATGCATAAAGCCTGGTATACAGCCCTGAATGCATAAAGCCTGGTATACAGTCCTGAATGCATAAAGCCTGGTATACAACCCTGAATGCATAAAGCCTGGTATACAGCCATGAATGCATAAAGCCTGGTATATAGCCCTGAATGCATAAAGCCTGGTATACAACCATAAAAGTATAAAGCCTGGTATACAACCATAAAAGTATAAAGCCTGGTATAGCCATGAATGTATAAAAGCCTGGTCTACAACCATGAATGTATAAATCCTGGTATAGCCATGAATATATACAGCCTGGTATACAGTAATATAGTTAATTAGCCGTCTTTTGTGATGTGGTTCTTTTCAAAGCTGTGGGTCTGTTCATGGTTTTCACCATTTCACAACTTAGTTTTCTAACCAGTTTCACAGTCAGTGAATTGCTTGTTTAAAACTCTTTGCGGTGAATAATTGAGTTACTGACAGCTTGTACAACTGTCATTACAACACATTCGAGAATTTAATGGGTATTTTAAGCATATTTTATTATATTTATGCAGGTATATCCTGCACGCATGTATAGGCCACACTCAGTTTCTGAGATGATAATTGTAGGAGAAAATAATTAGTAGTACCTATAAGCAGTGAAAGATGGGCTGTGTAAGAGCAAGTTCTTCTTCTTATTCTTCAGCATTCCGAGCCCTTGAGGTTCATTGCTGCAGATATCACCCACCTCCATTCATCTCTCTGGTTGGCCTTCTCTTTCCAGTTGGTAACACCAAGTGTTTGCAGGTCTGTCTGGATATTATCTCTCCATGTTCTTTTTGGTCTCCCTCATGGTCTACGACCATTCATCTCCCTGGTGTATGGTTTTACTTCTCTGTCATCTGACATTCTTTCATTATGCCCCAACCATTTCAGTCTATTTGGCTTTCAGGATGCCAGTGGTCAGTGGTGATTTAAACAGATTATGCATTTCTTGTTGCTTCCTTCTCTCCATTCACCGCTGTTTGCATCTTTGGTGGGTCCGACACCTACCAGCAGAAATTTATGTTTCCAAGATATGTTCTAAAGTTACAGAAGACACAGCATCATGGAGGCAGGTGGAAATGCAGATGAAACTCCTGTTTATTCATGAATTAATATCTCAAATATAGGCCACAAATTGTTTTTTCACCCGCGAGTTTCTGTTAAAATACTGCGGCCTGTACACAGGTAAATACGTTACTTCTGTGGAGAAATGCAATGATAGCTGTTTGTCTGCAGGATGTGGACTATCTGCTACGGCGCATGCAGTTAGAGGAATGCAGGATAAAAGGGCTGTGCCTACAGACGGAGACAGATCTACGGTCGCAGGATCTGCCTGAAGAAGGTGAGTTCACTGAGTGAGTGTGCTGCTTTCTTTTTTTTTTTTGTTTCTTCAGTCTTTACTTTTAAAAGAGTGATTGTTTTTTCATTTGCAGCTAGGCTGTGTTATCTGTCTTTCGGGATCCAACATTTCTGATTTCAGCAAACCTTTGATTTTCACATTTTTCAACATGCACGTTGAGGAGCTCTGGGTCTGTTTTCCTGTCCCCCAAAATGGGGCCCTGGTTTTAGTTCCTTGACCTCCCCCCCCCTCCAATGGGGCCCTGGGTATCTTTTCTTGTCCCCCCTCCCCAAATGGGCCCCTGGGTCTAGTTTCTTGCCCCCAAAATTGGCCCCCCAAGTCTATTTTCTTGTCCCCCTAAATGGGCTCTCCGAGTCTAGTTTCTTGTCCCCCAAAATTCGCCCCTGGGTCTAGTTTCTTGTCCCCCAAAATGGGACCCTGGGTCTAGTTTCTTGTCCCCCAAAATGAGATCCTGCAATACACAATGGGGGGATTAGTGTATCTGTATGATGTCCTGTATGTGCATCCTTATCATCAACATCTATTTCTGTATTTTCTCTAGGGCTTATGACATAAAGTGTTGTAGAGAGAAGTTAAATGTAGTTTTCTATCTTTTGCCGGCTGCGTAGCTTGTGTTAATGTCAAATTGCTCTTCTGTAGTGTAGTGTCTCTTTTACTTCCTCCACCCATCTCTTGCCTTGTAGCCTGCTGTTCTTATGTAGCATGCTCTAGCTGCTGTCTGATTTTGTTTTATTCTGACCAAACCACTTGATTTTTTTGGGTTCTGTGAAATAATGTACTGATACTGTATCTATCATTGACTTTAGTCCCCCCCCCCCCCCCCCCCCCCCCCCACTGCATTTCTTATATATCCCATCACACATGTTACTTAACCAGTGAGACATGCTGGAGAAGATGTCTTTATTCTTATACATCTCATCTCTCATGTTTAATTCTTCACTATATACTTAAACCAGTGAGACATACTGGAGATGTACCTTTATTCACAGCAACAATTTACAAACACAGTAGATTGAAATGATACACAAACATTTATGAAAAGCATTTGATTGGTAGTTCCATTGTGTGTACGTCATTCACATAAATAGAGGGGGAACTCTTGGGGCCGTATGAATATATGATGATGAATTGATCGGCACTCTTAGAAAGAAGCAGAAAGATAGAACACACTAGACAACATAAAAATCAAAAGCTATCGTTAACTGTGCTGGGAACGAACCTGCCACCTCAAAATGGCGCGTGTGCCTCGCTATGGAAACAAATGCACTAAGAACATGGTCAACTAGGCACCCCCAAAATGAAGGTGTTTGTTATTCGACCTATGTTTTGTTAATATAAATTTCAGTAACCTATGGTGACATTTCAGTGGTTTGAGATGAATTCTGTCAGTATTCCATAGTTGTGGATTTGCGCTGGCTCCTGAAGATGGGGACGGAGCGCTTATGGGAAAATAGATGATTACTGCTTCTTTATAATGTTTGTAATCAATTATCTTCTGGTCTTAGCACCTTTTAAAACACCCGGATTACTAATTTTGGCTGTCCACAGAATGCATATAATCGCTCTAAAAAAAATTTAATTCACTATTTCTTTGACATCTTTTGCCTGTCCTACCTGTACTTGTTTGGCTTAACTGAATTTGTTTAAACCAGCAGTGCTTATTTGCCCCACCCGTATTCACTCACCCTAGATATATTTACCTGTCCTGAAATATACTTACCTGTCCCGAAATATACTTACCTGTCCTGAAATATAATTACCTGCCCCCAGATATACTTACCTGCCCCCAGATATACTTACCTGCCCATCAGATATACTTACCTGTCCCCAAATGTACTCACCTGCTCTTCAAATATACTTACCTAACTCCAGGTATACTTCTTCTTCTTCTTCTGCCTTTCTATCTCCCAATGGAGCATAGGCCCTCAACCAACTCACTCCAAGTTGTTCTATCCTTCACCATTACATGGAGCTCTCCCCATGTCCTTCCCATCTTTCTAACTTCATTCTCCAGCTCTCTTCTCCATTTGTTTTTTGGCCTTCCTTTATTCCTATGCCCCTCTGGGTTCCAATGCAAAGACATTCTAGTTATGCTGTTCTCCTTTTTTCTGTGTGTGTCCTATCCAACGCCACGACTTTTCCTCATCTCTTGGTCCACTGGAGCCTGTTTAGTTCTCTCCCAAAGCTCTACTTTAGTTATTTTATCATACCATTTAATTCCCTCTATTCTGCGCGGGCACCAGTTAATGAATGTCTGTAATTTATTAGTAATTTGCCTTAGTTGTTCTCCATGTTTCCACCCCATACTTACCTGCTCTCATATATATTTACGTGCACCCAGATATATTTATGTGCACATAGATTTATTTACCTGCCCACAGAAGTATTTACCTCTCCCCCCAGCTTCACTCACCTCTCCCCAACTGCATTTACCTACCCCAAAATATGCGTACCTGCCCCCACATAAACTTACCTGCCCACAGATGTATTTACCTCCCCCGCCAGCTTCACTTACCTCTCCCCAACTGCATTTACCTACCCCAAAATATATGTACATGCACCCAAATATACGTACCTGCCCTCATATATATTTACGTGCACCCAGATATATTTATGTGCACATGGATATACTTACCTGCCCACAGATGTATTTACCTCTCCCCCCAGCTTCACTTACCTCTCCCCAACTGCATTTACCTACCCCAAAATATATGTACCCACCCCCAAATATGCGTACCTGCCCCCCACATAAAGTTACCTGCCCCCACATAAACTTACCTGCTCCCAACTGTCTTACCCGTCTCCAGCTGTAGTTACCTACCCCCACATAAATTTACCTGCCCCTAACTGTCTTACCTGTCTCCAGCTGTATTTACCTGCCCCCAGTTGTACTGGTCTGCCCTAATTATGCTCGCCTGTGCTCCAACTGGGTTAATTACTGTGCAGGATTAAGCTGACAGATCTGTAATCAGAACTGACATTGGAAGTAATGACATTGTTAGGTGACCCAAGTTTAACTGATTGTTGATTTGTTTTACAGCTGCTGGTCGACTCAGGACGGCCATAGGCAAGGCGAACTTGTTAGTCAGCCAGAAGTTTGTGCAGTTTAGTGAGCTTTGTCAGAACCACATGGTGAGTTAGGTGGTGATGACCTTTTATTTGATTCTCTTTGGTACATTCACCCTGAAAAAAGGGTGGGGGGGGGGGGGTCACCATGTTGTGTTGTGGTATACAGCTAGGCTGTGCCTTTTGGCCCAACACATACAGTTTCAGCAAACCTCTAAATTTACAACTTGCAAAAAAAAGGGGGGGGGGGAGGGAGGGGGAAATTGGTCTATTTTTCTATTTTCAACTAAAGTAGGGCACTGGGACACCACACTTGTTGACATTGTATGACTGGTAGTCCGGCATTGTTTGTATGACTGGTAGTCTGGTAGCATTGTTTGGCTGGTAGTGTGGCATTATTTATATGGCTGGTAGTCTGGTAGCATTGTTTGTATGACTGGTAGTCTTGTAGCATTGTTTGTATGACTGGTAGTTTGACACTGCTTGTATGCCTCGTGGTTTGTCACTGTTTGTATGACTGGTAGTCTGTCACTGTTTGTGTGACTGGTAGTTTGTCACTGTTTGTATGGCTGGTAGTCTGGTGGTATTGTTTTTATGACTGGTAGTCTGTCACTGTGTGTATGACTGGTATTCTAGTGGCCTTGTTTGTATGACTGGTAGTCTGTCACTGGTATATGACTGGTAGTCTGGTGGCCTTGTTTGTATGACTGGTAGTCTGGTGGCATTGTTTGGATTACTGGTAGTCTGGTGGCATTCTTTAAATGGCTGGCAGTTTGAATGACCAGTAGTCTGTAATTTTTTTGTATGTATGACTGGTAGGTAGTCTGGTAGCATTATTTGTATGGCTGGTAGTTAGTCACTCACTGTTTGTATGACTGGTAGTTTGTCAGTCACTGTTTGTATGACTGGTAGTCTGGCATTGATTTTAAGTTTGTCACTTACTGTTTGTATGACTGGTAGTCTGTCATTGTCTGTATGATTGGTAGTCTGGCATTGTTTTTAATAAACAAACAGAAATGTCCGATAAACCACCACAATAATGTGTTCTTGCAGCAACCAAATCCCGACGAGAGAGAGACCAAGTGGGAGGATCTTCAAGGCTTCTGGGATATAGTGAAGATTCAGATTGACAATGTAGATGACATGTTCCTAGAAATTGACCTCATGAAGCAGAGTGGCTGGACAGAGGTACCTAAACTGGTAAGCTGAACATGTTCTGTATTGGCCCTTACAACAGCCGCTAGCAAATTGCGGTTTGGATTTTATCTCAACTGTGATATCTTCACCTTTCGGCCCAACACACCTGACTTCAGCAAACTCTTAATTATCAACTTTAAGGAGATTCTTGTTAGGAGCAGTTGGTCTGTCTCTCCCCCCCCCCCCCCCCCCCCCCCCCCCATATTGTTGTCGAGCAGGTTTTGCTGTAGGGGGCAGTTAAACATTGATCAGTGCAGTAATATAGCAGTTAAACATTGTTCAGTGCAGTAATATAGCAGTTAAACATTGATCAGTGCAGTAATATAGCAGTTAAACATTGTTCAGGACAGTAATATAGCAGTTAAACATTCTTCTTCGCGTTCACCAGCTGTAAACTCTGGCGGAAGGTTCTGGTTGCTCGTCCACTACTGAACTGCAGTCCTGCTCCAGAACCTGAGTGTTAGGTGTGCATCAGTTTTACAAATCTCATTCGCTTGAATACACACTGTTGGTTCCTTGCCTCTCTGGCAGATGCACTTCGACTTCAAAGGAAGCTCCCCAATGAGTCGACTCTTAGGACATGCTTTTGAGGAGGCAGTGGGTCTATTCTTTTTTTCCCCACAATGGGGCCCCGGAACCCACATAGGGGAGTTAAACATTGTTCAGGACAGTAATATAGCAGTTAAACATTGTTCAGGACAGTAATATAGCTGGCAACAAGGAATACTACAAAAAAAATAAAAATAAAACTTCTTCTTCCCTTCACCCCCCAGTCAGGCTTTCGACCAACTTAAACCGATTTGTCCTATCCTTTACTATCGCAGGCAGCTTACCCTGTGTTCTATCTAATTTATTTTTTTATTTTTTTTATAAACCACATGTAGTTTCCTTCTCCATGAATAAATAGGAAGCATTTGAAAATCGCACTTAACCTCTCTCACCTGGATCCACACAACTGATCGTGCCAGTGTAAAGGGTAATGAGCAAATGGACCAACAGGCAAGCAATATATTAATGCATGTGGGAAGAAGCTTGCACAGAGCACACATCATCAGTGCTGTCGGGACTAGGCTAGTGGATAATGATGAATCCATGATTGCGTAACATAGGAGTCAAGCAGGATGAAGCAGGCCTATGCTGCCTTCGAGTCGAGGCTGAGATCGGAGACATTATAACCAACTTCTCATGGAAACAATTAGTGAAAGTACCTTGGAGTGGCTGCTGCATTGGAGGACTGAGCACGCATGGGAATGCCCAGTGTGCAGTGACGTCGATTGTGAAAACATTATATTCATTCTCCATTTATTTTTGGTCTGCGTTTTTTCCACTGCTCCCGTGAATTCTTGTGTGAAGAAATTCCAGTTGCATTGTTCTCAGATGAACACAGTAAACATGACCCTGAAATTACTGTTTGGATATTGAATGATTTGATTGAAAGATACAAATATTGAAGCCTTTAGGTAAGTGGAGACAATTTGATGAACCTCTTTTTCAGAATTTTAAAGAAGAGGGAGAAGCGGAAGATGAAGAAAATGCAGCAGCCGCTAAATTCTATTATATTACTAGGGTTGGGATCCTCTGTGTCTTCATGTGAGAGACTGATACCCTAACAACCATTATTACCTTGTCCTTGTTATGTGTCATACTTTATTCGTGAGTATGGGTAATATTTTTACACATCTACTTACAGCCATCCAGAAGAAGTTCCACAAGTTCTAGCCCCCAGTCTGGCAATATTTCACAGAGTAGTACTCCGGCAGCGACACCATCACACACTCCAGGTGAGTTGTCCACATTTGTGTCATTTCCTATGTGGCGTTTTCTCCAGTGGATGTGACTGGCACTTGTAAAGGTAAAACTTAGTCTAAGTCGAGGTTTCAGCTTCACTGCATTCGAGTTTCCCCATACATGCTTTATTCCTATGCCAGTGAAAATCAAAGGAAATGTCCCTCACTGTCACCTTTGAAAAACTGGTGAACATCAATTAGCCCCGGAACAATCCAGAAATATGCGCAAGCAGCAAATACATATTTCCGTTACCAGTTAGTTAGTTAGTTAGTTAGTTAGTTGGGTTATCCTCATTGCACTCCGGACATGTCCATAGGTGCTCAGATCCTCCCCTCAGTATGAACCCCAACGTCCGATGGCTAATAGTACCAGTTCTATGTTGATTAACAAGTCTTCTGGCGTAGCTGGTGTGCGTCTCGTTTTTTGCTGTGCCGATCTTAATTCCCAAGTCTGCCATTCTGGCGAGTGATGTGGATTCACTGCCACCAAAGTCCTCTATTCTTCCCATTTCTCTGAGGGCATTGATAATATCAGCATGATCCATAGGCTGACCGTCGGTAGTGATAGCGGATCCAGCCAACCTGTCAGCTCTTTCATTTCCATAGACGCCTGCGTGTCCCGGAACAAAAATAAAGGTGACTCCACGAACAGTGGACTTCTGTAATGATTTCCGTTACCAGAGGTGCCAAAAGCTAACAGTCGCCACCAGAAATGCAGTCTGTCGTTGATGGAAGTAGTCGGGGGCGGCAAGTTGGCCATACACATGTAGAATTACTACTACCAGCTCATACATAAACCAGGTACCAGCTATGTTGAACACAACCGCTGCACAAATGAAAGGCATTCCATAGGAAAAACACAGCTCACAGTGCTGCACCAAGCGCTAAACTTAGTAGCTCAGGCAGCGAAACCATTGACTACCGTCCACATGTGAAAAGCAAAGCGCTGTCAGGGGTAGAAACAACCTCGGAGTGTAACATTCTGCCATGCCTCTGCTAATTTAGGCCAGAAGTCCCGAAAGGTAAAACTTTTTCAAATGTAGTTTAAGGGAAGACAACTGTGCACAAAAATCAGAGAGAGACAGTCATCATTTTCTTATGTCATTTTATGAAAAGAGGGAAACAGAACCTGTTGTGACCACTGGAAGGAAAGACTTGTGGAAAGAGAGACAGAAAGACAGTGGGAGAAGATTCTTGACAACCTATTTGTCATGGCGTGGACGGGTGCCAACACAAAAACTAATATATGCAGTTGCGGCTTGTAGAGAGACATGGAAGCAACCATTACAAACAGATCACCATTTGCACATGCAATAAGTTTTTAATCACACAAGGCATCACCAATACTATGGCAACAGGCCACTTGCCATTTACTGAATCTTCAGTTCACAACACCACGTTGGTCACAGTTAAAAAACATTCCAAATGAAATACGCAGCTCATGGTGCCTCGCCATGCACCAAGCTCAGTAGCTTGGGGACAAAACTATTTCCTTTCAGTCTAAAATCAGAGAGAGACAGTCATCATTTTCTTCATTTTTTGAGAAGAGGGAAACAGAACCTGTTGTGACCACTGGAAGGAAAGACTTGTGGAAAGAGAGACAAGAAGACAGTGAGAGAAGATTCTTGACAACTTGTTTGTCATGGCGTGGACGGGTGCCAACACAAAAACTAATATATGCAGTTGCGGATTGTAGAGAGACATGGAAGCAGCCATTACACACAGATCAGCATTTGCACATGCAATCAGTTTTCAATCACACAAGGCACCACCAATACTATGGCAACAGGCCACTTGCCATTTACTGAATCTACAGTTCACAACACCATGTTGGTCACAGTAAAAAAAACACCATTCCAAATTAAATCCGCAGCTCATGGTGCCTCGCCATGCACTCAGCTCAGTTGCTTGGGGACAAAACTATATCCTTTCAGTCTGCACATTGAGGTCTGTAAGAAGCAAAATTTGCCACGGAAAAAACAGTGACTGTGCCTGTCATCTATTTTGACCATCCCTGAATCATAGATTATGTGTATATTCGGCAGCATTCTTAATAAACTTTGATGTAGAAACAAGAACTATGCGTGAATTACAAGAGACAAGATTAAGTGGTTTGGCAGTCAAAAGAAAGCAGTCAGACCAAACCATAAATGAAACCTACAGAAGAGCATCTAGGCTGAAGCTGAGAGAAAGACCTAGAAAGAGATGAATAGATGTAGCTGAGTCTTCTAAAAAGGATAACAAATCCTTGACTGTATTTTCTTTTGCCTTGTGGTTTCCAGTGAAACCCCCCCCCCCCCACCCCACCATCCTTAAAAATATCTATAACCTTACAGAGGATTTGAATCTAAGCCTCTTCTGCATGAGAGCCGGGGTGTATAGCCACCCAACCAGCCACTCACTTTCAAATTTGCTAAAGTTTATTTAGTTCTCTTTCTGAGTTCCACAGTTGGGATTCTATCATGCCAGTCACTTTGTTTGCAATGATATGATACAATGTCAGTGACTATAATCATGCTTGTTTGCCCCAGGTTCCAGAAGAAAGAACCTCACCCCAACCCTCAGTAAAGACACCCCAGAATCTTCTCCGGAGAGAACCCAGGCGGCTCGTCAAGCAGCCAAGGCCAGAGATGAAGCTAGAAAGAAGCTGTTGTTAGAGAAACGGGCAGCCATGAAACAGGCCTCAGTCGCTGCAAACAGCCAGGAGCAGGAAGTGGAGATCTTTCTACCAGAGCAGTCCAAGAAGTAGCCAAGTAAATGATGAATGAATTCCTACCGGCTGAAATCTTCATTGCTGTTACTAAGAATGTGGCAGTTAAAGATAATAACTCAGGTATTTTAGATTTTTAGGTAACAGCTGAGCTGGTTTTAGACTAGAAACTATGAACAGTTGCTTTGTCATATTTCTAAACATGAGTTCTTAGAAAAATGTTCACTGACTCTGGAGTAAAGAAAGTTACAAGTGTTGGACCTTTTTTTTTCCTCTGAGATGCGGCTGTTCCACCATTGCTGTCCGTTACAAATCCCAGAGAAGACCTTAGACCAGCAGTTCTCAACCTGTGGGTCGCAACCCATGTTTGGGTCAAACGACCCTTTCACAGGGGTCGCCTGAGACCATCAGAAAACACAGATTCACTGAAGTTATGAAGCAGCAACGAAAATAATGATATGATGGGGGGGGGGGGGGGGGGGGGGGTCACTACAACATGAGGAACTGTATTAAAGGGTCGCGGCATTAGAAAGGTTGAGATCTGCTGCCCTAAACTGACATTGCTGTATTTACCATTTGCTGATAAGCCTGGTTAATAACACTGGGTCTGTTTGCATCTGTGCAGTGTTTGGAAGCGCTAGGTAGGATTATATTTACTCAAAATAGCCATTCAGGAGTTTTTATTATGAAGAAAACAGTTTTTAAAAGTCATTATGACAATTTAAGTGACCTTTATCGGTCACATAGTGACAGGAACACAGTGTACGTCACCATATACATTTGTTCAAGCCCACGAAAATGTATTCTATTAAATTCTCTGCTGCATTTATATTGATTTAATTACTCCCTTTTTTATATTTCATATATTTTAAAAATTTCTATAAGTACGGTTTAAAAAAAATTTAAGGATCCTGTGTAAAATTCCCCAGTTCATGGCTTTCTCCCAAGGGTTGCCGGGGTGAAGGGGCTAAGAAAGCTTGTTATTAGCCTAACAGTACAGCATTTATTCAGGAATTCACAGGGTAAGGGGAAATAAGGAAACTGAAATACCTGCAGATAAAGGAATTAAAAAAAAAAGATGATGAGTAGCATAGGGTATTGGGTATTTGGGTACATCTTAAAGTAAACTCAGAGGTAGAAAGGAGCTATTTATATAAAAGCTATATAATTCCAGGCTTAACACGTGAATGCAAATTATGGACAGTGGGGGTTTGAAATTAATGACACAAACACCCTGGACGGATTTTAAAAAAAAGAGTAATGAAGATATCTTGAAAGATATTAACCCATGAAGAAAACTGATTGACCACATTGGAAGGAGACAATCTGTATTATTTAATCACGTTGTGAGAAAGGGATAACTGAAATACATAGTGATAGTTGGAAGTTTAGAGGGGAAAATGGGCAGAGGGAGACCGAGAAAGATGATATGTTGGATAGTTTAACATTGTTTTATGGAAGACCATCTGTGTCAGAACTGGTTGAAAGTACACCAGTGAGAGGGAGACTGAGAGAGATGATATGCTGGATAGTTTAACATTGTTTTATGGAAGACCATCTGTGTCAAAACTGGTTGAAAGTACACCAGTGAGAGGGAGACAGAGAAAGATGATATGTTGGATAGTTTAACATTGTTTTATGGTAGACCATCTGTGTCAGAACTGGTTGAAAGTACACCAGTGAGAGGGAGACCGAGAAAGATGATATGTTGGATAGTTTAACATTGTTTTATGGAAGACCATCTGTGTCAGAACTGCTTGAAAGTACACCAGTGAGAGGGTTGTAGACAGACATGACTGCCAACATGACACCCTGTTGGCCATAAGAAGAAGAAGAAGAAGAAGAAAGAAATGTTATATTGTAGGAGCAAATTCTGTGTGCTTAGCTTGTATGTATGTATGCAATTATGCCCTCATGTCATTCCTGCAAGTTTGTACCAGGCCTAGTCATTACATGATGCCTTGTTTAATTGAGTTTTTTTTGGGGGGTTTTTAAACAATGGATCAACGTCATAGTACACGGGTAGTAATCCATACATGCTCTCTTTTTATTCTAACTCAAGTCTGAGTCAGAAGTTCAGCACAGTGCACAGGTTCTGTAACACCGGCAAAGATCCTAAAATAGTTTGAGTAGATTTTAAACTCCATCTGCCATGGTGTGCATTTCTGAACTCAATATGACCCATAGTTTTCACACTCTTTCATACTTTCATACTCAAAGAGTCACTTATATCCTGTGCCCATCTTCGTGTTGGTCGGCCCATGCCCCTCCTTAAAAGCCCTTTTGGTTTCTATATTTCCCCTTACCCTGTGAATTCCAGTATTTTATCCCAATTCTTAAACTTCTTCTCATCTATAACATTAACTTCCCCAAAAGAGACTTTTGACGTACGCAACAATGCACACGGGCATCTGATCTCACTACCAAGAGACCAGGGGAAATTATTAGAATTGAATGGTTAGTTTATTGGCCTCTTAGGCCTGTAGACACGAGTTCTTTCCTTAGTGAAACACAGATTACAGGTTAACTCTTTCAGTCAAAAGGAATGCATCACAGATTCATAGGTTCCTTTTTAGAAGCCCAATGAACATAAGATGTGCTGATCTTTCCCCTCTCTTTACCACCCCTGGGACTGTGATGCTACACCCCCTGGGACTGAAGGAGTTGAAGGAAAAGTGTTAAAAGCTTGAAATCACCATTGTTTCTAAGGATGTCTTCTTCTTTGTCTTCTTCTTTCTCTGCATTCATCCTTACAAGGTCGGGTGGCATATTTTGCTGTGGTTTACAGTTAGGCTGCGGTATCTGTACTTTTCGACTCAACACATCAGATTTCATTAAACTTCTAATCAGTGGCCTTTCAAGTAGACTCACTGCCTCCCCGACATGCATGTCGTCTGAGTCGACTCATTAGGAGCTTCCTTAGAAGTCAGAGTGCATCTGCCCGAGCGGCAAGGAACAAACAGCTGCACACAAATAACCCATTAAAATGGATGTACATGCAGAACTCAGGCCCTGGCACAAAGCTAGAGTCAAAATGGATGGACAACCAGTTCTTTCTGCTGGAGATGAACATCCAGGACTTTCTGCTAGAGCTTACAGTTGCTGAACAAAGAAGAAGATGACAAATCATGCAACCTATTTTTGGGGAGAAGGAAGGGGGTCATTTTTGTAATACAACTATACTATTGTTGTTTTGGTTAAGTGTACTGACGAGGCTTTCTAGCTGCAATGTTTATTCTGTTACTTGTAAATGTGTTTTTGTCAAACTGACCAGTTTCACAGTTTATTGCTTGTCAACTCATTATAAGATTGTAATATCACCAGCTGTAAACTCCAGCAGAAATTTCTGGTTGTTCATCCACGTCTGGACTTAAGTCTTGTTCCAGAACTTGAGGTTTGTTGCATTTTCATTTTACAGATCTGGCTTTTTTGTATGCAGAGTGTTGGTTTCATGTCAGGCGCAGACTTGTAGAATTATGAACTACATATTTATTCACAACCCAAAACTTGCATATGATCCCTGTGTGCACAATGGAATTGTGGCGTTTGATATTTTTCAATCCAGATTGCATACCACTTCAGGTGGTAGGCTTAATATTCGGAGTTCAATGTGTGTGTACTTGAGTGCATGTAATGTGTGCTTGAGACTTTCTGTGGTGCTTTCCCAATATCTCGCCCCAGGATGGCGTCAGAGGACAGTCCAGTATTTTCGAGGGTGGTAAGAGCCGATTTCCCGGCTTTCTGATGCTTTTAACTACTCCAAAACATCAATAACTGGGCCTAACCCCAACCCACCTACGTCCCACGAGAGAGTGCAGCCTAGGTCCCATGACTGCATACAGCCTATCTACCACCCCATATAATATTTGACTGTCTGTTTGGGGTAAGATATTGGGAAAGAACCATTTCTGCTATTGTAATCACATGTATTTTTTTAAACATCTGTATTGTATAGAAATCAAAATTGCTCATTGGAAACATTGAATGGTTCGGTGAGGTTGCCTCCCTGCTGGCTGACTGGCTTTAACTGATCAAAATTTATGTTTGCTTTTATTTTTCATATTGACACTGTTTTATTTGTGTACAGAAATATTTAAGTTATTGTAGACTATTATTTTACTGTTTTATTTTATATTTTTGTGTTGAAAAAATATTTATTTGTATTTCTGTAATGAAGAAAAGAAAGGAGTCGCTGACCGGCGAGTTAGAGCACTGGGGATTAATGTGGGAGACCTGGGTTTAATTCCTCGCTAAGGCGATGGACCTTTTTTTCTCCTCCATTGATTGCAGAATAAAATAGTCCCACAGACGCTCTCTCCCTCTCCTCCCAACAGGCATGTTATACAAGGCAACTAACTAGGGGTTTTTGCTTCGAAGTCTGAGTGCATCTGCATCAGTGTACTAATAAAATGGATGTGCACGCACATCTCAGGTTCTGGAACAGGACTGTCCAGAAATGTACAAAGAACCAGAATTTGTGGCCAGCTGGTGAAAGCTGAGAATGGGGACCTAAGTTTCAATTGTTAGTAAGGTTGGGGATTTTTTTCTGTAGGGGGCAAAAAAAATGAACCTGAGCTGTTTGTGGCGACTGCACCAACCATGGGAGCCCTAAATCCTCAGACTCGAGACCCCTACTGTCCTGTAGCGAGGAAGACATAGATTATTGTTCTTCTGCAAGTGCCTTGATGACTGGCATGAGCAACCACCCCTTTCCACAACATTTAATGTCACTTGTACAATATGTGTTGATTTGTGTGCAAAGAAGACAATCTAGATTCTGTGGTTATGTAATGAAAAGGAAACTGCATTGTGTCATGATGGTGGGAAAGTTGGAATCGATAAAAGGGAGAGGTGAGACTAGAAAGAAGATGCTGGGCAGTTTGACATCATGGCCTGGAAGATCATCTGTGTCAGAACTGATTGAAAGTATTCGAAACAGAAGGTTGTGGGTGGACATTAGCACGCAGCACCACACGTCATGGACTATGGAAGATTATGTATGTCAGAATTGATAGAAACTACACTAGACAGAAGGTTGT